GTTTTATCCTGGCAACAAATACAATATCATTTTTATTATCAAATGTAATCCTGACTCTTCCCAATGCTGATGGTGGCTGAACCTTCACAATCTTCCCCTTGATTGGCGGTGGGGGGGGAGGGGAGGGTTGGAACAATGTCATAGACTTAAGGTAACAGAACAAGGACACGGATGCCTGCAGGCACTGCAGCTGATGCACCCAGCTGACCTTCCTCAGTTCAAGTCCCCAAAGGAAGAAACACTCCTTCCCCATGGTCTCAAAAAACCCTCAAACTGAATGTCCCTCCCTTCTACTTCCTGTGGGTCTTTCTATCCATCCTCCTGACTTCCTCTTACTCTTTCTGTTTTTTGTTTTGTTTTGTTTTGTTTTGTTTTGTTTTCCTATGTTCACTTTCTGTCAACTGGTTGCTTGCTTTACCTTGTGACCTATGGTTGACTTCATTTAATCCTGTTTACAATATTCAAGCAGACAGGTCTTGGATTAAAGGTGTGTGCAAGGGCTGAGACACACCACAAGTATAAACAGGTTTTCCCACTAAACGACATAATCTTGGGGTTCACAGAGTTACAAATATTCTGCAACACCATACCACAATGGGATCTTATCTTGTAGGAACCATAAGCTCAAATAAACTCTCCCTTCTATAAATTTCTTTTGCTTTTGTTGTTTATCACAGCAACAGGGAAGTAAGGAATACATGGTATTAACCACTTTCAGAGATTTCTATCCTCAGGCATTACTGTGACCAATCCACACAAGATATGCAGGGACACCCTTCAGAGTAGCTATAGAACACGCCCAGACACCAAGTTCTCAACTCAAAGATGTGTTACCCCAGAGGGACAAGCAATTTGGTGGGGAGGGAGGGTGCTGACTCTGGATTGGACAAACACAGCAGAAGACGTCTCTGAAAAAGTGGTTTTTAATGAGAAAAAGGGGACATCTGTGCTTGATAAGTCCTGTTGGACAGGTTAGCCAGTATAGCCAAATAATGAATTTTTATCATAGGGAATTGGTGTTCAGTCTCAGGAATGAGTCAGTGGCCAAAGAAGGAAATAGACATAGGGGACTAGCTTTAGGAATGGAAACTAATGGTTTAGCGAGAGAGAGGGAAGTTGGGGGAAGGGGTTGCCTGTTAGAAAGCCCTTTGAGGCAGATGACTCTGTCCCCTTTAGCCTTTTGCTGCAGCCATAGTCAACTCCATGGTCAACATCGAGGCTGATGGCCAGCCCTTGGGCTCCGTTTCCTTCAAGCTGTTTGCAGACAAAGTTCCAAAGACAGCAGAAAACTTTCATGCTCTAAGCACTGGAGAGAAAGGATTTGGATATAAGGGCTCCTCCTTTCTCAGAATTATTCCAGGATTCCTGTGCCAGGATGGTGACTTCACACACCATAACGGCACTGGTGCAGGTCCATCTACGGGGAGAAATTTGAAGATGAGAACTTCATCCTGAAACATACAGGTCGTGGCATCTTGTCCATGGCAAATGCTGGAACCAAACACAAATGGTTCCCAGTTTTTATCTGCACTATCAAGACTGAGGGGCTGAATGGCAAGCATGTGGCCTTCGGGAAGGTGAAAGAAGGCACGGACATTGTGGAAGCCATGGAGCATTTTGATCCAGGAATGGCAAGTCCAGCAAGAAGATCACAATTTTGGACTGTGGACAACTCTAATTCTTTTGGCTTGTGGGCATTTTACCCACCAGACCATTCCTTCTGTAGCTCAGGAGAGTACCTCCATGCCATCTTCTCAAAGTGCCCTGTGATCTCTGCTCTCACTGAAGCTCTCCAGGTTCCATATTTTCCTCATTTCCCTGCAAGTCTAGCTGGATTGCAGCGTTACGTTTATGATTATGAATAAGAAGTAAATAAGAAAAAAAAAAAAAAGAGAAAGCCCTTTGAAGGCTCCCTTGAGATCTGTGATAACAAGCCATATTGAAAAATATCTTTACAATGCCACAAAACATAGAAAGGTCACACTCTAAAGTTCTCAGTTTGACGTAGAAGTTAATTAATTGCCAGAATAGGTAGTGTAAAGAACATGGCATTCTTATCAGTCCATTTTTTTTTCACACTGTGTTCTGAAGCTTGCATTCTGTCCATCTTGCCATTTTGAGTTATGTCTGTTGTTCCTTTTAGAAAATGGAAAAATCTTATTGACATCCTCTTTTTGGGGGGAGGGCTCTTTTTGACTAAAGGCAAGCACTCACAGATTTAAAAAAAAAAAAGATGAAAGACCTCTGTCTGAACCCATTTCTCTAGGTAAAGGTGTCTAACATGCTCCTTAGGTCTGTGCTGTAGAAAATTGTCTATTAATGTTATTAGTAAACCATAAAATTATTGCAGTTGTTATTATTAACCCACTAGCATTACAGTAAAAGACACAGGCGCCTGATAGAGTTTTAATAAGCCTTATTTCACCTGGGGCTGTGCAGATATTAACCCCCTGAACTACCTCATTACCTTCGGTCTTTCACCCCACGCCATTTGCTCTCATCATTCCCATCTGGGCTACTTCTCACCCACAGTAATATAAACACTTGCACGTGCTTTCCATCTGGGCTGCTTCTCTCCGGCCACGCTGATCCTTGGAGGCCACACGGCTCTTCTTTACCTATCCCATGGGACCCTGACTCTTCTTCCTGCCCTCCTGCTCTTTCTCTCTCCTTCCCATGATCCTTCTGTCCTCCAAGCCCTTGAACCTTGGCCACACCTCCCTCACGTCCACCCTGCCCAGGTGTGGTTATTTTATTGATCAAAGAGGGATTATTTGGAGGCAAGGTTACAGCAAGCAGGACCTCGAGGAGCAAAATCTTCAACAGTACAATCAAAGCACCAGACCGTGCTGTGACAGATCTGGGTCTGGGTCCTTGTTTACACACAGCCCTTTGTTATTTTTAGAAATAAAACCCATTTCTCACTCTTTCACTCAGGTGAGAAATCATGATGTAAGAGAACTCCAAAAATGTCCATACTTCATCACGCCAGATACAACTATTGGAAGTCAAGTCAGAAAATAGTGAGAAGGTAGTGAGAGTATATATATATACTCAGCTGAGTAAAGTAAGTGAGCGTGTTGGTAAATGCCGATTGTCACCAACTACATAAGTATGTTCTATGTAATATATTATTGCATCCTGTGCAGTAGATCTAGAAGAACAGCATTAGGGAGATGGTTTGAAAATATGCCGTGAATCACTTACCCTCGGTGGGAATTCCCAGGGGAATCACTTAGTAACCCTTTTAAGCCAAAGCGCACAAATTTGTCCCGGAGGCACTTGACAGCAGCCGGGAGACCCAGCTGTCCCCTGGGCTTTCAGGTCATTTCTTATCTGTCCCACTGGCCACCATAAACACAGTGGCCTCCTTTGTTAGCCTGGAGTCCTTTCGCAGTATATGAACAGCCACAGCGAGAAGACTGTGAAATTGCGCCAGAGGGTTGTGAAAACTTTGCTGTGGTAACTCATTAGGAATTTGGAGACTTAAGGTTTTCCTTTTCTTTGTAGTCAAACCTGCCAAGGGGCCATTTAGGCTGTCAAAGTCCAGAGAGGCTTGTCTGAGGGTCGAGAGCACGTCTTTATGCGCGAGAGGTCTTGAGTAGGAACGGCAGGATCCGTCCCTGAGACTGTACCCTGTCTCTTTCGAGTTTCTCCTGCCTTCAGAGACACGCCAAACACTTTAGGAAAATGGGACACATCTTTGCAGTGAGAAGACAGGAGCACGGTAACGCTTTTCCTCTGCGCCCCAGGGCTTTCCCCGCTGCCCAGCATCCCAGCCTTTTCCTGCCCAGCGCTCTCCCCTGCCCTGTAGCCCTCTTGCCTGCAGTTTGGCTCTTGGGCTAGCAGTAGCACCTTCCGCTCTGGTTTGGAAAGTCACCATTTCTATTATCTGAGAAGTCTGGTTTGCCCCTCAGGATCATTTCTCTTCTTCCTTTAAAGAAAGTTAAATGTGGGTCGGGGTGAGTTAAAAAGACTGGCCACCTCCTCAGCGCCTCTGCCTCTTTAGCACCCTCACAGCCTTCCAGGGCAGGTAGGTCTTCCCTTCCGTTTCCAGCCATTGAGATGAGACTGGCAAGTTCGGGGTGGGGCTGGGGGGCTAGTCGGAGAAGGCCACTCGAGCATCGAGCATCGGGAGACGGGAGACGGGGGACATCTGTGGTAGATCAGGGAAACCCGCGCTCATAGAGAAGCCCAAACACACTGGGCGCAGAGGGCAGCCCCGCGCCTAACTCCCCTGCCTCCGAGGCCTGCGGCAGGGCGGAGCAGGGCGCACGCTCCCCAGCGGCAGACTTTCGCCTGTTGGTCCGTCACCAGGCCAGCCTGCCCCCCCCCCCGACATCCACATCGCCCACTCACGCACCCACGCGTTAGGTTTTACTTTGAGATAAGGCACTCTGAGCAGCTCCGAGAGCGCCACGGTTTGGGCGTCCCTTCTGAAGATGCTCTCCAGGCCGGTCCTTCTCCGTACCCAACTGTGACAACAGCCGGGTACACAACGGCATCCCGGCATCCCGGAGTCCTTTCCCCGAAAACTGGGCCTGAGCAACTGAAGCATGGGGAGAAGCGACATTGCAGCCCCAGCTTGGAGGACAGCGACGGCTTTAACCCCCTGAATGCCACGGCGCCCTAACACAGCGCGCGCCACCTGAAGGAGCGCGACGCCAGACCTTTCAAGCTGACCCACCTGAAAATCTCCTGGTGACATTTCCGCTCTGGCCTTTATGTCTTTTTCCTTTAAAAAGAACAATTTATTTCTCTTCTGGAACTGGAGTTGCAGACAGTTGTGGGTACCTGTGGGTGCTGGGATTGAACCCGGGTCCTCTGAAGAGCAGCTAGTGCTCCTGGAACCTTTTCCATCCTTAAAGCTATCTTTAGGGCCCCGCCCCGAGGCTCTAGCTCTGGCTCTAGCGACTGAGGCCAGTTCATCCTCGACTAGGGAAGAGGGCCGGGCATATGTTTGTTGCACAAAGGGACCGCTGCCTCACACTTCCAGAGGAATGCTGTCCGCGACGAGGAACCGCAGCGTCAGCGAGTTCATCCTCCTCGGGCTGTCCGGTGACGCGCAGGTCCAGGCCCTGCTCTTCGCGCTCTTCCTGCTGGTTTACCTTCTGACCCTCGCGGGGAACCTGCTGCTGCTGCTGGTGGTCAGGATGGACCCCCACCTCCACACCCCCATGTACTTTTTTCTGGGGCAACTGTCCTTCCTAGACCTCTGCCACTCCTCCGTCACAGTGCCCAAGCTGCTGGAGAACCTCTTGTCCACCAAGAAGACCATCTCGGTGGAGGGCTGCCTGGCTCAGGTCTTCTTCGTGTTCGCCACCGGAGGCACGGAGTCCTGCCTGCTGGCCGCCATGGCCTACGACCGCTACGTGGCCATCAGCTCCCCGCTGCTCTACGGCCAGGTGATGAACAGACAGGCGTGCGCCGGGCTGGTGTGGGGCTCGTGGAGCCTGGCTTTTCTGGATGCCCTCATCAACATCCTCGTCGCTTTGAACTTAGATTTCTGCGAGGCTCAGCAGATCCACCACTTCAGCTGCGAGCTGCCCTCTCTCTATCCTCTGTCTTGCTCTGACGTGTCTGCAAGCTTCACCACCCTCCTCTGCTCCAGCTTCATCCACTTCTTTGGGAACTTCCTCCTGATCCTCTTCTCCTATGCTCGCATCTTGCTCACCATCCTGGCCATCAGCTCTGCTTCAGGGAGGAGCAAGGCCTTTTCTACCTGTTCGGCACACCTCACCGCGGTGACCTTCTTTTACGGCTCCGGATTGCTCCGCTATCTTATGCCAAACTCAGGGAGCATCCAAGAGCTCGTCTTCTCCTTGCAGTACAGTGTCCTCACCCCCATGCTGAACCCCCTCATCTACAGCCTGAAGAACAAGGAGGTGAAGGCAGGTTTGAGAAGAATGCTGAGAAAATATTTGTAGTGTTTCAAATAATGGACTAAGAAACGGAATGATGGGGAAGTGGGTGGAACTCTGTTGAACAGTGCCCGGGTGCTGAGGTGCCCTGCTGGCTGTATCTCTACAAATCTTCCCTCTTTTCTTAAAGGCTCAGAGTTACTTTCTTGGGATGATGTTCATTTGGCCATACTCAGAGGATCAGCTAAACCTGTGGCCTAACGCCTTCTCTTGTAAGGCGCTGTGTTTAGTCACTGTATGCAGTCTGTTGGACAGTTACTTTCTGCTCAGCCTGTCCTCCATCATTCTTCCAGAAGCTGTCCTCCACTTGTTCAGTGTGGCTTCATTCATCATGGTGTCTCAAAGTCCTTTCTCAACCCTGGTTGGAATTCAATCCTTCCGTCTGCTGCTGGTAGAGATGTGAGCACAGCCGTAGAGCCTTTCCTCTCTGACGAGAGTCTTTCATCGGCAGCGCTCTGCCAGTTTGTGCAAGAACCCCTGCTGCCAAGATCACAGAGTTACCCAAGACTTCATTCTTTAAAGGCCAGATGTGCAAGCATGAACCATGGTCGGAGTGTGTCACTAGAGGCTCATGCTATGTCTTGTATCATGCTGAACCATTTGCTAATGCATTTGCTACCACAGCAAATGCATTGCGTAAATATGTTTGTTATCCCTCCTCGAAGGGAGAAAAAAGGTCTCGCAGAGAGGAAAGTGATACGGTTGGAATTTTGAGCCAGTCAGACTTAGACCAAAACCTGTTTTCATTACCGTATTGATAACGGACCCTCCTGTGCTCCTGGATTCAATTAATGAATTGTGTTCTTAGTGTTCATCACTGTTTTCTATTACTTTAAGTCTGGGTTAGGCCTTGTCATTTAAAAAAAAAAAAAAAAGGAAGAAAAGGACAGAATTTCAACAAACATGCCTTCGATTGTGAAAGGTAATTGTGGGATTAATGATAATAATTCAGAGAGGGGTATAGATTAAATTGTGGTAAAAAATGATTTCTTTCTCAGAGCACCTTTTGTTGTTGTTGTTGTTTTGACCTGTTTATAAGCTGCCAGTTCCCTCCCCCCC